CTGGACTCATCACGCATTGGAACAGCGACATTCAGTAAACAAGTCTAAACAAATGGCGACGACAAGCTTTCGCATGTCGGCTCTTTTAGCACGAAGAACTTTTTTAGTGAAAGTCAAAAAAATTTAGTGAACTCGGAGAATAATGAAAATTTATCTAACTTTTAACTGTGAAAACAAAAACCTTCACTTTGAAGTATTTCGCTTAACTTTAGCGTATTTCTGACGATTGTTCAACTATACTTTGCTTGACACCGGTCTCTGCAATGGTTTCAATTAAAATTTCGCGCGGGAAATTTCCCCGGCCGGGACCGGATACGAGTGCATTGGGCATGCTCGAGCGTTTGACCGCGGTTAAGTCTTAGGTTAAGTCCCTAATCACTTTTGAAATTTTTCAAGTCTCGTTGGGTACTCCTGTATTTTGTTTCTCATACAAAGTAACGCGACACCGACTCCCTTGTGAGGAAGTTAATTTACTTAACAGCTCGTAACGTGAGCTTGGGACGCCTGTGGTTGTTGCAGAATTTTGATGTGTTGGGGTGCAAACCGTATGGTGGTACGAAAATAGAGAAATATTTTCTTTTTCCACTGCTTCAAACTGTTTCGAAAGGGTTAAAACGAGAAATTAAATGTGGTTGATATAAAGCCAGTATGTTAGTACGTATACTTAATGAAAATAAAAACAGTCGGCGAACTGGGGTGCCTCTTAATAAATAACTATTTACAGACATATTTTGAAAATTTTGCTCGCTTGACTAAGATCAAGAAAGTCAAACTTAATTTTACTCATAACAAGTTTTCTTTAGCTTATTTAAAGACTTACATTGCTACATATTTAAAATGACAATGGCAAGGAGATGCTTTCTTTATCCTAATATTTCCCTCCACAGCACAACTAGCAAGCATTAACTATATGCTTTGATTATCAATACTAACTCTATGAAACACAAAAATATAATTGCCCCCGAGTCTTTGAGTGGTAATGTAGGCAAACAAAGGCAAATTATGGCCGGAATAATCACTGTTTCTATGCTACAAAAAAAAACCGAGATTTCTCACCGCCACCCCTAGCTGGTTTCCCCGAGAAATGACATCTGAGAAACGTGCACAGAAATTCCACTCTGACGACGTGTCACTACCCAGATCTGGGAACTGCTCTGATTGGTCGTTTTGCGAGCAAACAATTTGCCTCAACCAATCAGAGGCACTACCCAGATCTGGGCAGTGATACGTCATCTGCATGGAATTTCTGCGCTCGTTTCTCAGACTCTATTTGGCGGGGAAACTCAGTGGTGTTAAACTGAGAATTTGAAGAGTTTTTTAAAAATAAGCCAAGGCCCCCTGAATTTTTAGCCCTAATAAGCTGATGGCAATTTTGTTTAAATCGAACGGCCATTTACATGTAACACCCCTAACCCTCTTCTTCCATTACAAATGTCAACAAAATGCATTTAAAATGTCCACTACGTTGTACGTAATAGGTAATGTCTTTCGCACTCCTTTACGTTGGCGGTATGAGTGTTGAGTTACCATCCAAACAAGGACTGTGTGCAAAACTACACATTCCAGTGGATACTATTAATCGCCACATAGATTGATGTAACAATAATGTTTTTCATACATTTTTTGGATCAAACCAAACCGGAAGATCTTTTTTTCAGCCAGAAACCGATACCTCGGTTCCCAGTTCCCGTTTTAGCATGTCAAACCACAGGCATCCCAAGCTCACGTTACGTGTGTGTTGTGTAAATTCTCACAAGAGAGTCGGTGTCCCGTTACAGGCGACCTTTGAGACTTTGTCTGAATACTGAGGTCTGCAAACGCTAAATATCATTATCCTTGCTTATTTTTCTATAAAATACATAAAGTAGACTTACCTTTGATGTATTCCTGTGTTTTTGGTGTGAATTCATCGATATAGTCGGGTTTTTTGGCTGTTATTGTTTGACCCCTGTCACTCTCTTCATAATACGAAGTAAAGGCAGTACCAAAAAACAGCCGGCTGTCTGACCTTGTCTACTCGAAGGCGGTTTGCTGCCCGAAAACCCATCGAATCGCAGATTTTTTCGACCAGAGGCAAACTTCTATCATCGTTGCACGGCAGTAAACGTTTAAAAGCGAAATATCCCCACGCATGTTGCTGGAAATGAACATTTCCTCGAGCCATGTCCAAAATACCTTCTTTCTCTGGACACTGTGATACGGCAACTGTGAATTGACTGAACCACCCGCGGTCGAGGGAAATTTAACGCCCCCTGTCCAGTTGCCGCATCACAGTTTACCTCAGAAGTTTACCTCTGCTCAAAAAAAATCTGCGATTCGATGGGTTTTCGGGCTGCAAACCGCTTTCGAGTAGACGAGGTCAGACCGCTTGCTGTTTTTCTATGCTGCCTTTACTTCGCACTATGAAGAGAGTGACAGAGGTGACAGAGGTCAAACAACAACAGCCAAAAAACTCGACTAAATCGATGAATTCACACCAAAAATCACAGGAATACATCAAAGGTAAGACTTCTTTATTTATTTTATAGAGAAATAAGTAAGTGTAATGATATTTAGCGTTCGCAGGCCTCAGTATTTTATTTCTCATACAAAGTCGTATAATCTGGATAAAATGGCTCAATTTATTTTCCTGGCTGGCTAAATGTCGGTTTTTTTTTTTGCTGGCAAAAAAGGGAAGAAAGAGACATTCCTGGCTAAGGACACACCTTTTTGGTAAAAATTCTGGCTGGGAAAAGCCCTTAAGGTAAAGATCCTGGCCGGAAATTGTACTTTAAAATCTACTTGTAGCTCTAGCTGGCTTTGGGGAGCGGATATAATTTTGCCAGAGAAGTTAATAATCAACCAAAAAACAATTAGTGACTGTTAAAATATTACTGGGAGCGATATCCAATCACTTTTGACATTTTTCAAGTCTCGTTGGGTACTCATGTATTTTATTTCTCCACAGGCAGCCCAAGCGCACTATGTGTGGGTTCGGGCTTCAGATGTCATTTGGTCGGAATATACTAGAATTATTAGTGTATTATCTGATGCCAAATAAACGCAAAAAATTTAAAGATATGAAGTCTTCTTGTTTGTCTTTCCGTACTAGTAGCCTTTAAGATAACGAAGGTCGATATTTCTTGCATTATTACATGTGATTCGGGCCCTTAATGTTCGAATTTTGTCACATGTATTCGATTCTACAACGCTAAGAAAAAAAAAAATCATGATCACGCGAAATATTGATTCAAAAAGCTCCCTTACCTTTAGTTCATAGCCACTCTGTGTCCTACGGCCGGTTTAAACGCCGTTTAGTCGACTTTCTTTCCATCGAGTACT